GCTTCATAAACGAAATAGTGCAATCGGTTTTTTATCAGCCAGTCATCTGGTAGTGGCAGTTTGATAATGTAATTAATATTGTCTGTTTACTTCCAAACCTCCATTAGTGACTGAACAGTACACACCAAGGAAGCCGTAACCTTACTGCTAGAACATGTAATCTTACCGACGCGCAATAAAGTTAAGCTTTTTGTCTCCTTCAAGTTGGGCCGTCGACTTTTACAAGTTGGAATGGGCTGACACTTGTTAGTCGAACTGTCCGCTGTGATCGACATAGTTTGCTTGTCACTAGTCGACTGGACATCTCCGACCCATAGCCACATGTTGGTCGTGTACGTCATCTAGGTTCTCATTGTTGTATTTTGCAAGCAGTGACAGACCAGATTGGCAATTTCAACCAAGAGCTTCTGGATTCTCCTTGATTCACAGCGAGATCCAATTGTCGGTGTTATAATTAGCAGCTAACCATGTACATCTCTAGCCTTTGGCAGATCCGGAAGGCCGCCTATGGAAAACATGCTTACATTCACCACTTGTAATGGGGAGGCCAGCTGGCAGTAAACAGGGCGATATCAATTAGCTTACCAGAAAACCCGACCTACTGTTGGATAAATTTTCGCTTCCATTCATCTAATGGAATAGTGTGAGTACAATTCACATGCTGGAAGCCTTATGTTCTTCAAACACCGCGCAAGTTATCAGAAATTAGTGAGCGCTTCTATCATGATGGTTAATCGGAATAACACTTCTTGATGCATGAGGATACAGTTTTCTGCGTCCGTCTTCTCGAACAAAGGTATCAGGAAGGTCAGATTCCTGAAACCAACTTCTGAACGCCCGGAACCTACTGCCCCACCAAAAGCTTAACTGGAAAGCCGGCAAGCATCCAGGCCAGTCAATCATTCGATCAATTCAGTAAAACCTGATGAGTGTTCTCTGCGCCACAGAAGCATGACCGAATGTGATCAGCGTTCAGGCTTTTCACAGAGGCACGATCGATATTGATGGGTGATCACTAACGCCTATCAGACAGCCTGGATCAATGTCAGAAAGTCCCCTTTAAAAGCGTGGGGCCGTTGTAACTTTTGCGCTTTCACTCACTCGCTTGTTCGGAATAGAACTGTTGTGTTCCCTTCCGTGAGTCTTTTCTCTCCGACACTAGGCACTGGAGGCGGGTCAGCGGCAGATACCTCAGATTGACGAAACAGCAGATATAACAAAATGTTACCACAAAAAATTTAGGTACGACAGTGATTCTCCCACATCGCGTCATCTAGTGTCCTTCAGGATGTAGCAAGTTTCACAAATTATTATCACTGCGGATTTACCTTCATTCTAAGCGGTTTATCTGTTTTGGCAAGTTGACATACTATATTTCATCGAACACTGTTTCCCAATTCGATATATATGTTGACGACGAAGCACTGTCTGCTTATATGTTTGAACATCCAGCCACGACGAATGGATCACGACAGATTAACATGTGGCAAAAAACACGTCACAGTTATCCAACGCAAATTTTATTTGACTGGGAGTAGGCAGGTGTTGTAGAACGATATTTTTGCCCTGGTTGCTGTCTATCATTTAGAACAAACTATGGAACACAGTAAACACAATTATGGTGAACAGCAGACCGCTATGTACGTGATTCTTTTCAAAAGCTTCAAGGAGGCGGACGTACCCCACTTATGCCAGCGACTGGGTGTCAATATTCGTCGGCTTAAGCTGACTGTACTCTCTTGTTAGCCATCAGTTAGGAAGTCACTGGGTTTTACCGTAGTCCTAGTGGGTACACGACAAGTAAATCTGACAAACTGATCCAGTGATGTGTTTACACAACTCTTGTAATTTACAGTTACAATAACAGACTAGAATTTATGCTTGTCAGCTCATCCTGACGTATGTAACACTACGTGACGTTTCAGTGCCGACCGAAGGACCACAACCCTCTCAGGGATCTGGCCGAACTACCTCGGTAGTTCACAGCATACAACATTCACGGATGAATGTATCAGACTATTGAAATCACTGCAGGGTAGGTTCTTGCACCACTCTTTACTTCAACGTACCAGCGTGGACACATTCATCTATAGGTTTTGTGAGTTGGACTTATTAGTGAATCTTCCTTGCATGACTTCCAGTGAATACACCTGATCTAATTTGCTAGTCATGCCCACGTTTGCACAAATAAGGTGGATGTTGATGTGTTCATCGAGCTTGGCGATTGACTCACAGACGTTCCATAACCATTCGAAGAAGCATTATCAGTGAGCTGTTGGGTGGGTAGTTTCTTTTTTTCGTGCTTGCTCTTATATAGTTTGCAGTGAGAAGCATTAGGCAGTAAGCTGACTGGCTACTAATAATCAGCTCAGAGGATCAGTCATGATGTTTGCTGCTTTGCGGTCTGTAGTTTTTGCAATGTGATGCCCCACTGCATTCCGGAATCGTCCATTATTTCCTTTCCTGGTTGGTCCCCTCCTGATCTGCATTACACCGTGGTCCAACTACCCGCTTTTTGATCAGCTGATGATGTGGCTTCCACTTTTGTAGTTGGCTGCCTTCAATCTGTTTGGTCCATTGCCAACTTGCGATTTGTCTTCATGAGTGTGGCTGGTTGATTCCCATGTATTCATTCTGCAGAATCCCATTATTTTAGGTCGTTTTGTTGTCGGATTTGGCGATCCTTGATGTGAGCCACAAGAACCTGGATGTCTTTTTTCTTAGTTCTATTATTTTTTCCTTCCTTGATCAGCTCAGCGTTCACTGATTTCATGTTTTTCCTCCCCAGCGGTCGACAGAGAGGACTGGTCTCTCCTTCCCTTTTTCTTGGTTGTCCTAGTAAACTAACGTGGTTCCGACCGAAATGTCACCATTCTCGGTCTTCCTGTGTAGAGATGAGCAAGATTTGGTCGTGTTTTCTAGCAGCAGGCTTTTGCTAAGTGACTGTGGTTTACAGTCTCCTCCCTGTTTGTAACATGTAATGCTTTTTAAAGGTGCAACGTGCAAAATAGATAGTCCATGTTTGATATTTTTCAGTAATATCGACTCCAGTCACCTACCGTACGCGATTCGCCACACAATACTGTTCTTGCTTCTTTCCATGGCATTCATACTCATGGTCCAAATCTGTGTACCGCCATCCATCTAGAAGGCATGTGTCATCCAAACAGACGTATCCATCTACGAGCTGTGCTGCGTCATTTCCAGTACGGTACGGGATTAATCGTTATGGTTCCCCATAATATTCCGATATAACCGCTACTGCGAACCCACCTTTATATTGGCTCAACTGTGGAGTGTAGTGTACACCGTAACGAGGTGTAAATGAAGGCCGATTGAGCACATTAAATTGCACAAACTGCTTCGAAGTGAGTTGTCTAGAAAAAAGTTATCACCATTTGTCGTCACTGTTAGGCAAAGCCCGAAGATCCCAAAATAATTTCATGGGTGCATGATAGTGATCCGAGAATTGTCGTCTTTGTTCATTTTGTAGTGTGCGACCAGAGACTGAGGCACTAAGGCGGGAAATCACAACGTCAGTATTTATCCAGAATGTACGATTGTGCTCCTGAACAGTTTCATCGCGTTTTAACCTTTTTAGGTTACTTTACAGGAGGAGGATGAAGAAAGTGAAAAGACTTTGCCCCACATAACTAGTGAGTAGGAGACTTGGCTCAAGTGTGTTACGCAGAGATCTCACGAAGACCGCATTCGTGCTTACCGTTAGCTGTTCGCTTGTGGCTTCCGTTCTTGTGATATGCTTGGCTATTAGTAACTCAGAATACGCGTCTTGCAACAATAATTTCCCCAACATAACTCATTTCGACTTCTAAACTGCCCACCAAGCAAATGAGTTCATTCCAATTTGTGAAAAAGCGTAGGAGGTTGCGCTTCTATGCTAGTGGTAAAAGTCTACCGAAGTTCAAATTTCGCCCTTTGCGAAGAAAACGCGCCTCTGCATATAGTCGTTTCGGCTTTTCAGAAGCACTCATAGAAGGCATAAAGCTGAGCTTACTCCTACCTCTAGTGATGGGCATGTACCGTAAATATTTCAGTATAATGGAAACGGATTGAACTCTAGTCTTGATATATTGATGAATCATTTGTTTAGCAACCGTGTTTGTCCTAATGATGAGTCCACGAGAACAGTCTATTCATCAATCCGTATTCTGAGACATCGGAGACTTACATAAAAGTTCGAAAGGACTATCTGTCAAATCAAATGTAATGTTTTTCAATGGGGACCTGATACGGACGGTTCGTCTGAGGTAGATGAAACCAAGCGTGCCGACAAAAAAAATGCAGCATTATAAAATATTAGACCGTTCATTGAGATCTGAGGCTACGAAATAACGGAGGAATGGCCTGAGATACCAAGCAATACTGATTTTCCGATGTATCCAAATACAGTTTTTGTGCCAGTATTCCAATGAAAATTTTCACCTGGACTGTAAAGTTAAACGCAAAGCATCATACCAGTTGCGCGGCGAGTACAGTTTCATCAAACCGCGTTGTTTTTTAGTTTCTATCTGGATTACTTGAATGAGTGTCTGGAGGTGTTGGTACCTCAAAATGATTGTAGTAAGCTAGCGCTAATTCCCTACCCGATCCACTTTTATTCTTTTCTTCACAGTAGGGCTTTCAAATGAATCATGAATGTACGTTAGTGAATCATTAGTGTTGAACAGTGATGTCATGCTGTCAATGCTGATGATGAAGACGAACAAAGATACTTACTCGCCTGGCATCAGAGTAGTGGTGACAAGTTTCACTTCCAAAGAGTCACAAGGCAGTGTCTTCCTCTCCAAATACCTATGGTCCATTACAATATACGGTGTTTTATCAGAAAGTTGTTTTCTCAGTACAGGAACGCAAAATATTCAGTACCGGTACATTGAGACATTTGCAGTCTCCATATTCCTAATTTACCAGATTATCGTCACATTTAATGCAACAGTCAAGTAAGAACTACTGCACGATTAAGATGGGACTTTCCCATGTTTTTAAGCTTGAGTATATTCCTCATGTGGAAACTTTGTTTGCATAAATCCAATAATGGTTTTCAAAAAAAAACGTCAGCGCAAATGTGTATCAAAAAAGGTTACAAACGTATGCATACATGTCTCCAGTTAGTTGACGTGCATGAAAGAAAAGTGGCTTGGTTGTACGTGAATAGCACTGATGAGTTCCTATCATGAATGTGATGCATCACAGACATATATCATACGAAGAACACAGAGTTCAACGAGCACATATGTTCTCAGCCAGTTTCAACAGCATGTCACTATACGACTTCAATATCTGGACGCGAACGCTGTCGTAGATAGTTACGACTGTGTGAAATCCAGTCCATACGAAGCTCCCTCTGACTAGCCTCACCATCTGCTGGAAACGCATAGGCAGCTGGGAACAGATGTAATCGTTGGAGCTTGGGCATTCGAGCCACGCGATGAAGAATGCGATGGATAACATCTCTGGGTGGAGGGACAAACGGCTGCAAGCAAAGCACACGCAATGTAGAAGTTGTGTCTATCCATTTGTCGGAAGCCGAATCATCGCAGTCCGTGCCTGTTGGTTGATTCTGAAAAGGTGGATGAATGCATTCGGTCAAGTGTGCAACCGAAATCAAAATCGATTAGTGGATGTGTGAGTCAAAGCAAAAGAGTCTGGATTAGAATGATACATACATAACTTTTAATTGAAGCATTTCAGCTCTGTTCAGAAACAGCTATTTTGGCTAGTCAACACGAAGCCGTTGAAGACCTAGACTATCGTTTTGATATTGCTATAACGCATCGGCAATGCATGGCCTCAGTCGTGCCAGGACTGAGAAAAGTGAGTCTATTTACTACTCCGCCAGTGTGGTACGCTCGTCTGTGGTATTATGGGACTAGTTTGCTCTTACGATGTTAATTTCCAGGAAGTGCTAAGGTTGCGTAGAGTCACTGAGCTATGATAAGAGCGGGAATCGATCCCTACGTCTCCAACTTTAGCGTGCACCAATGATCCGTAGAAGGGACTACTCAAACGAAAGGGACGTGAATAAAAATGCAGCAACTTCCGTATCTAACAGTGGAAAGCCTGTGTTGTTTGGCAAAAATAGCTGTCCATACTGTCCTGTTCAACTCACCCAGTTTCGTAAAATCGTTTCTGGAGGTCACGATCTGGGCGTTTGCTTCTGCAAGCTACCAGGTCACAGACACTCAACTGACGTCCATTTGGTAAGCTCGATATATTGCAATCACAACACACGCACAGTTTCTTTAGATTGAGTGGTTATATCGGATCGTGGTCACCGAAGTTTGTAAAAAAAAGTCAAGAGTAAAGGAATAAGTTTCATGATGATGCCTGGCAAGCCACGATCGCTAGTTTATATGATGACTGACCCATAGCCGCGTCCGGAAACAATTCCTATAGTGTCTGTTGGAGAAAGAAGGTGTGACTTGAGAACAGAAATTTTTTGGTTGAAGTAGCCATACGTTAGGTGCGAAATCCGTGTTCTTGATTATAGATGTTGATAGAGCCTCGTGACAAGCTGAATCGTCTTGAAGTTTGCGAAGATTTGGGACATTCTTTATACTCGGGGGCAAGCCGGTCGTGCGAACACGTTATACCATGTTATATTCAACCATTACCATAAAGAAATGTGCGGTCTTTGAGCGCACATGCCTGAGTGGAATCAAACCCTCTGGTCACCAACGTATTGATGAAGGCACCAACAATTTGCTTAAGGAAAGTATGCCACTTTTCAACTCTGTTGTCGTATTACCTACATATGAAACTCAAGTTAAATGGCGTATCAGCCATAATTCTGACGATAGGAGGTTTAAATTGCAGGGGACAGCGAAAAGGATATCAATACAAAACCCCTTGAAGGGCTCATTGATTTAAGGCGGACAGCTGGTCCTCGAAGATGGCTGTTACCTTTCCTGAATTTGACACTGTCTACTCACGAGCAATACTTTAACAAGTAAACCGATCTATACGCTGTTCGCTTGATCCCTCGTTGTCCGTGTAAGACTAGACCGGAGTAGCTGCCTGTGTTACTGTGCTGCCTGCGAATAACAGGAAAGAAGCACCTAAGTCACTTGATGAAGAATCACCCAAACTCCAAAAGAACAAGTCAGAATGATCTGATGTTGCCAACGTTGGCTCAATAAAATACAAGCAACTAAAAGTACATGAAACGAGTTCGAAGTTAGAGGAGTGTTCCTCAACTATCGTTCTACCACTCGTTGGCCTGATAGGGTGCTAGGGAGCTAGGTCCAAACTGTACTCTCTTGATTCACGTATTAACAAATGACTCTTCTGGACGCCGACTGTGAAAAAAACTCGTGTAGCAATGATACTAACAGGACTGTGATATTTGAGGCCACTCCAAAGCATGGGAGGAGTGAGTAAAGTTGAGCAATGACATATGTCCTAGAGATCACGTCTCCTCTCAGTGAAATCCTATAACCAGCAAGTCCATTACTTACCTCAAGTTGTAAAATGTCCTAGTTATGCCGATCGTTTACAAAATGAGTAATAATTGTAATGGATGGCAGAGAACCCACTCAACCCTGCACTGACGATATCATCTCTATTGGTGATGAAACGTTTGCAATCCAAATGTCAAGCTCGGCGAACAGACCAACAACCAAATTGTAATGGAACCAAAAACGGTGGACAGATCAGATAAACACAGACTGAGAAACGCAATAATATTACCTGAGAAGGCCGACCTGATGACAATGAAACGTTGCAATCCAAATGTCAAGCTCGGCGAACAGACCAACAACCAAATTGTAATGGAACCAAAAACGGTGGACAGATCAGATAAACACAGACTGAGAAACGCAATAATATTACCTGAGAAGGCCGACCTGATGACAGAAGATTCGGCCTTGAGTAACTTATAAGGGGTAACTTGGAGGGTTACAGTAGGAAATTCAACCCTCCTACTGAAAATAAATTATGTTAGCGAAATTAAGTTGACTATATTGTTGGTAACAAGTTTGTAGTCGTTTCTGAACTCATAAAGTGAAAATGGGACGCAGAATCTTCGGCGCCAGACCTATCCACCCTAATAACAATGTAGATCCAACTCAATCTGTTTAACAATTTGAGATTGAAACCATCACTACAACATAACCGGAGGTCGGAAAAATGTTCCCTGTGACAATATCGAACCTTAATGAATGTCACGGTTATAAATTATCAAATGAGAAAGGGCCCTGTTAAAAAGGAATAACCGCACTGACCCCTCAGGTTCTGGGCCATGGAAATTTTAACTTAAATGGACAAAAGACTTGGCGCATAAATGAGTGTATCGCTTCCAATACGCTCAGCCTACCAAACTTGACTAGTGTGCTCCGTGTAATGATGACTGATTCGGTGAAAACGTGGCTAAAATAAAACGGCTTCGAGTACTACGCTGTATGTTTCACAAAGGAGAGTAGAGGGCAGGTACCAATTGTTTTCACTCATGATAACAAGTATTTGGAAGTGATGTATTCAGTAACGGTACCACGTTGGTGATATATGATTGCCGAAAACGAATGCACACGGGAAAACTCCATACATGAACTTAAACACTGTTAAATTGGAAACTATCAGCTGTCGCAAGCTTCTGGTGCAAACGTGCAATACCACTCAAGGGAAGCATGAGGGCTGAGGTAATGTCGAGTTGTCCAATCATCTAACCGCGGACATTCCGGTTAACAGGTTCGCGCCTTAACTACTGAACTAGCTGGAACTCAAAGGCATTGTTGCCGGTTGGCGGACGTGGATGCTAATATACGGTCTCAATACCGAAGAAATTGAATGGCAGCGCAAAGATACTTCATGCGACAAGACTTGTGAGCTCGGACCACTTACGACACTCCGTCATTTGTCTATCTTCAAGCCTAGAATAGCTGTTAACTTACATAATCAGATGCGAGAACTTCTGAAAAGAAGGGTATCTTGCCCATAAGTAAATAAATGTGCCATAAACTCTGGATATCCACCGAAAGGGACATGGAGGCGAACTGAAAAGCAGGGTGGTGGCCTGAAATATGGGAGCTGTTACATTGCTCTTCGGTCGATTTCACTTATTTGTCAAAGAGAGTCAATATATGGCCAGAAGTTGGGTACCAAGGCTGACTCTTAGATTTAGCTAACTCTGATGATGATCATAAGTATGCAAATATGCCGCAGAACACAAATAAATACACCGAATCCAGTGTTATTTGGACTTTGACTGATTTCCCGGTAATACACTTTTCGATCTAGTTTAATTAGAAGCAACAATATCCAGTCAACGCTCACCTAACAAAGTTTTACAGAGCCCCAAATGGAGGTATGCAGCCACTAGATGCAAAGTAAGCGGGATTCCATGAATATTGATGGGCAGATAATAACAAATGAGGAGTTCTGTCATGACTGTTTTGCAAAAGGTTACTTCTGTATGCCAACCGTAGTACTCTGTAGTTTGAAGAAAAATCACCACATGGGAGCACATAGCCACCACAACGGCGGCAAACTGGATGAGTGTAACGCGCGTATCATAGTTGCATCGTTTGGCCACTCTAACCTGTGTAGCTGAAAAGAGACGTGAGACCCCCAGGGAGCTGATGGGCTGCAGGTGTAGACTTTGTGTAACTTCTTTCCTTCAGTTAGTGAAATGCGCATTTTTTACTGAGTGTCCTTAATGCATTAATTCGTAGGTATCGGCTTGACAGGCTTCCACAACCGGCGAACAGTATGTCCTATGACTATTTAGTGCACTACGCTCCCATTTATATAATCTTTTGTAGGACACAATTTTTTTGATAAGAAATCAGAGCAGTTCGAGCTAGTGAGGCCGGAAAATTTCCTCCAACCAAAGTTCAACTGTCTGGCGTTAAGCAGTTTGCAGCTGTTGGAAGAACCAAAAAGTAGTATACAGTGTCAAAGAAACACATTTCTCACTACTAAATTTTGGCCCACAAATCTCTGCGGCTATTCGTGCCCCACACACCGCTAAATGACAGAAGTGTGTGAGTTCCATTTTAAGACTACCTCAGCTTGCAAACAGTCGTTAGACACCGTATTCACTGACGTTGTTCACAAGGCGTGACGAAATCATTTCTGTCCTCCGCACAAAAGGTAGGAGAAATTCAACCAAATGGAGCTGAAGAGTTAAATCATACCACAGTTTAGTTATTTGGCTGCATCTCCTATTCAACCGGATAAACGAAATTCCTCTGCAACAAAAGTAAGAAGCGGCCTGCTGAAGAGTTTTCAGTAACCTCGTGAGTAGTTCCCTTTCATGCCAGTTCCTGCTTTTCTAGAGGGAAACTCTAGCCGGTGAATTGACCTGCGCGAAGCCGAAGAATTGTATCTCTAGCCGGTGAATTGACCTGCGCTAAGCCGAAGAATTGTATCAGAATACGAGGGCGACTGTTGAAACGAGAGCTACGACTCTAATTAAAACTCCTGTTATGTGTTCATGAACAGTTGGGCACGAGCGACAAACCTATGACACAGACGGCTACCAACTTTTCAAACAAACCACAGTGGACCAAGTGCTTCAGTAGAGGCACTCTCCGGGTAACAATGTCCAATGAAATGGTGGAA